ACCACTGTACACACACACACACACACACACACACACACACACACACACTGCTCTGTAAACTTTAAACAACACCAGAATTTCATCCCATTGTTGTCCAAGTGGCCTGGCCCACCCCAGACAGCCCATCAACCACCCAGACACTCATTGGTTGCAAGTTCCTTGCTCAAGCATGCAGAGACATGATACACATCCATATACGCTCGTTCGCGTTCATGTGCCTCGCTGGAATGAGGAAACTCTTTTAAGTGAAACCCTTTTTTCAGCTTCTCCAGCCAGCTGAGGACCGGCCAGAGAAATAACAGCAGCGAGCGTTAAACATTAACAGTCCTGCTGCCAAAAAACCCCACACATTACAACTGCTCCACAGACGACACAACAGAAATAACTCCTCTCTGTCTCTCCCCGGGCCTATTAGTGAGGAGGTTTCGGGCCACAGTGCTTCTGGTAATGAGCCCGGCAGCACAATACGGGCACCGGGCCGGAACAGCTGAGGGCAGACAAAGCTGGCAGGATGGGGCGACAGGGACTTACTACATTTAACAGAGAAACCGTACTAACACTGTGCCCGTGAGTGTGTGTGTGCGAGAGACGGACAGACAGAGTGAGAGTGTGTGCTTGTGTGATATAACATTGTGTGTGGCGGTGAAGGCATGTGTCCCATTATCATTACTGGGACAAAGTGAAAGGCAGAATGGAGGGGGGCCCAGCAGAAATTGCTGCCAAAAAGGCAACAGAGGAGTGTGTGGCAATCAGTGGGATGACGGGCTGGGGTTGTCCTGCTCCAGTCATCTGGAAAGTTCTCCACTTATCTCTGGGCCGAGATACTGGCCCACCAATTCAGCCTGACGAATACGTATAATGTAGGCTGGCAGAGTTTGTCCACCCAAATGAGCTGCAGGACACGCCGTTGTTTTTAACTGTGAATGGCAGCGATGCCAGGCGGGCCCCGCCCGGGTCAGCCTCTTTGTGACCCTTGATTAGACCCAGATTGTGTAAGTGAACCCATTACCTTATCACTAATCACTCTGAATGATTATTCTGAACTTCTCCTTCATTAACAGAGCTAAAGGGGCAGAAGTGTGTTACAGGGAAATGTGCAACCCCATGGATGCATTTAAGAGAAGAACGTGTGACGAGAAAATGATGAGTATGAGTGTGATGACGTTGGCAGCTGTAGTGTTGGTTCTGTGCAGCTCTGTGATATAGCAACTACTTCCCACAGTAGGGTAGAGTAACGGCTAATGGAAGTGAGATTCATCGTACAGGTATTTAGCCTGTTCACTCAGTCCAGCAATCTTATTCACCAATATAACAGGAACCACAACGGTGGTTTGGGAGGACTTATTGAACATTTAGCTGTGTTGTATGAAATGTATGATCTGCCTCAGTTCATACATTTCCGTAGATTTCACAGGCTGACTCTCTGACTGTTACCCATGCAGAAGCAGGGAAACGTCACACGCCATGTCAGAAGCTTCTTGCAGTCGTCACTGTGTGTCTCTGAATGAATGAACTGAGGTTGTTAAACTCACCTTTCATTTTCCTGTTTTCTATATAATCACCGGTGAAGTTGATCAGAAAATGTCCAACCAGTCTGCTGCTGCACTGCAACGGCTGATTGATACCACGGGTGTGGTGAAGGCTCTCCACTGACGTTGCATTGAAAAAAAACCCAGTTTAATGTGGATGCTATACTTGTGCCTTCTTGTTGTTATTTCCACTACTACTGATAAACTAATTATTATTATCCAGCATTTCTGAGGCCTCGCTATTCAAAACCCCAATACCAGCAATAACAATGACGGGACAAAGAAGGTAACAGATCTTCTAAGTGTGCATTTTGTAGACAGCAGCTTGGTTTCATTTGTGGGGAGGGAGAGGAGGTTTTTTTCTATGGCCAACTTTGAGGATCAATATCATGGGGTGTATCGTAGTTTCAATAGTAAAACTAATTGGTCAGGTACAAGGATTCAGTCCAATCCTTGCACCTGACCATTTTCAGAGGAATGTTTTTATTAATATTATCATTGTTTTGTTAAGCCACTTAACACTCATCCAAGCATAAAAAGTTCTTAACTTAAGGAATAAACCTGTGCAGTGTGTACACATAACAGAGCAACAGACAATAGCAAGTAACCCATTTTAAATTGTATCTGCCTGTTGCACAAACACATCATTTGTTCCCATTTAATTGTTTTATGCATCAACAAGGTGATTCGCAAAGAGCTATTAGCTGAAAACTTGGTATATCTAAGTATAGTGTGCAGCGTGGAGGACAAAAGAAGAAGTAGCCATTCTGAAAAACTATCCACAGCAGTATTAACAGTATCTAAAAACGATCTCCTTAAGAAGCAGGCTGAGGTATGCCATATTAGACAAAAACTGCCCATATGGAAAAGATATATATATATCTTAAAAGGTTTGTATCTGTCTTGTGTGAAACTTGTATGAAAAGCATACAAGAGTGAAAACAGATATAAGATCCCTTGAAAAATTATATAAATGAAACTTGTATGTTTTGGATACTTCCTAAAACAATATATGAAAGTAATGAGAAAGTGGCCACTTTAATGAGTAAATCATATAAGTTATTACTATTTCTTTTCCATATGGATGGACTGAAAATCAGTGGCAACAGGTCTGATGGAGTAATAAAACCATCAGATTTTGATCTGCTATGCGATACCATTTGGAAAGTCTCTGATTGGCAACAGCTTTGTTGTTCAGCCTGATAATGATGAAAGCATACCTGGAACACTGTCAGCCATGGATTGGCCTACCCAAAGCCCAGACCTCAACATTATTGAAGCAGTGTGGGATCAATTTGACCGAGAACAGATCAAAAGGCTGCCAGCATCCATTACACGTGTTTCAATAACTTGCTGCACGCATTTCCCATGTTCCTCAAAAAAAAAAAAAGAAAAAGAAAAAAAGAAAGAAACAAGAAGTGGCTCAAGATTTTTGCACAGTACTGTATATTGTGGTTATGACCTTTGTCTAGTTCAAGGTGGAGGACCAAACCACCTACCGCAATCATCATCTAAATTTCGCTGTAAGTCAATTTGCTCTCATAGGCCCGAAAAGAGGCCTCAGAACACCTGAGCAGACTTCAAATGATATCACCTCTCTCAAATTTCAAGAAGTTATCTAATCTCCTCCATCTTTAACTCTAATGCAGCTGGAACAAATGTGCCAGTCAAACAGAGCAAAGTGGCCAAACAGAGGCTGTTTCTGTGTCGGAGCAGGTAGAGGGAGGAAACACAGGTGCCCTGTGTCATACCGGCCTATTAAACAACACTCAGACCCCGAAGGCAGGAAGCTACTATTGACCAGGAGACATCAAGAAAAACGCACCTTTCAAAGCACACACACACACACACACACATGCAGCACTATACACACACGACGGAGGTGGATAAAATCTTCCAGGTATCAGGTCCTGCCCCGAGGGAGAGGACTGACCTGCAGAGGCCAGTGCAGTCAAACACCCGGCCGACAAACACCTCATTCAACGTCACACAGACATGCTGATTGTGCTGATTTATCCTCCAACCGCACACAGAAGATCAAAGATTACCAAGCAAAGGAAGAACACATTGCAAATATTCCTAGAACTGCTTCAAAAACTTAATCTTGTACGGGCTAAAAGATGAAACGAGATAAAGAAGTTAAACATTCCCGATCCGCTCCGTGTGCCGCATTGACCCTCTGTTTGTCCTGCATCTAAAAAAACCACAGTCTGCGCCCGAGGAGTACTGTCAGACTCTTGAGTGTGTGTGTGTGTGTGTGTGTGGACGATGAAGGGTAAAAAGAGGTCATGCATTAAAATGCCCTCAAGCAAGGCACTTGGCTTAACTCTTTTCAACAAGAGAGGCTCCTTTGCTGCTAAAAGGAAAAGGAGCTCTACTTCTTTGGACTGGGTCTGATTGGCAAATAAAATGAGAATGTCTGGCCGCTAGAGAAGCCACACTAATGAGTGCAGTTAAAAGGGAAAAAAATGGGGGTAAAAAAGGCAGATGTCTTTCTACAGTACCTCCTGTTTCTTGTAAAACAGATTACAGCGATAAAAGACTTTTCCCAAAATGATGCAAAAAGATAAATTTGCCTAAAAAAAAATCAAGCGTGGGACGCTGGATAAGAGCGTGAGAGGATAAGAGTGGAGTTAATGTCTCGGTGAAAGAGGCAAGTGGGGTCTGAGTGGGGAGACGAAACTCATGAGAGGACCGCAAAGAGACTTCAAGGGCCCTGGACGGTGAAAGCCACACAGCACAACAGCAGCAGTCAAGAGCGGAGGGTGAAGACAGAGGCAGTGGAGGCGGTGGGTGGGTGGAGGGGAGACAAAGAAACATTTCAATAGCTAGAGTGGGAGAAATGAAGTGTTAGTGCAGATAAAAAGTAACAAGTAGAGCGTGCAAGGCGTCAGCGGCAGATGGAGAATGTGCATCAGGAGGAGCATTGAGGGCAGAAAAAAAGGGGCACGGGATTGATTGTGGTGAAGTTTATGTTTGCTGGCGGTGTTTTCAGGTGTTTATGTGCGACCCAGGGTGGAGGTTGAGCAATGTTTAAGCCACCTCGTGTACACACAAGGGGAGGAGAGAAGCACAATGAAATAAGGAAACTTTACGAGTCATAGCGGAAAGGAGGGTCTATTCTGGATTGGCCCCTAATGATCACAACTTGAGGTCTTGCCTTTTTAATTACCCATCCAGGCCTGACTGAGACGCACCAAGCTCGAGAATGGAGTGGCGCAGACTGGACAAAAAAAACAGGCCACTTCCTAGGAAAGGATGCCCTCTGAACCCAGCAGCTAATGCAGCCCCTGCTGCTCCAGCCTGCTCGTTATTGTTCTTAGAGAGGAGGAGGAGAGAGAGGGTCACTCCAAAACAGGCCCACCACCATCACTGGCTGAAGTCATGGTCCACAGGCCATGTGAGAAGAGCTCCCGCTCGAGAGATCCTCTGCGACGCCAGCGCCAAACGGGCACCTTCGGCACAGATTGCGACCCCGGAATGTAAATCATTATTAAAGCGTTTGTGTCTGAGCTGGAAAAGCAGGAGACGCTAATGGCTGCCTCTCGCTGTAACATTTCGTCACAGGCCCGAGAGCATGTAGGTTAGCCGAGATGGCGTCGGCCCCTCCCCGCCCCTCTGGAGGTGCTGTGACGGCCCCGGGCCCCCGTCACTCATGTGGCCAATCAGTCACCCTCATCTGCACAATCTGACTTTATCTTAATGAGCTGTTGTTATTCCCATGAATGAATGGAGACAGTTTCCATTCAGAGAACAAGCTGGGCTTCATCGCCTGATGGAGAATCCCGGGTTTCTCTCATGTCTGTCCGTCCAGGAGGGGAAAAGATCTAAATATACAAAAACAGCTTCAGGTGCAATGAAACGTCCATTTGTTCAGTGCGTTCATCCGATTCTGACCCGCAGACGGGACGGTGTGTGCTTGTCTGTATTGTCTGTGCTCTTCATTGTGTTTCCTTATTGTCGCATCACATTCCTGTGTGGGGAATTTGTGTGTGTTTAGAGGTGGGGGTGGTGGTGGTTCTAGACATCCTGCTCTTTTGTTGGTCACCCCAGGTCGGCCGCTGCTCGACATGTCAGCCTGAGAGATCACAAAATAGGACCCGTGCCACTGAGAGCAGTGATCTCACACACACCAGCCCGTTCAGCTATCTTAGTGAGGACCTTCATTGATATAATGCTTTCCCTAGCCCCTTACCCCAACCCTAACTATTAAAAATGAATGCCTAACCCTGACCCTTACCCTAAACCTAACCGTAACCTAATTGTAACCCTGACACTAAAACCACATTTTGAGCCTCAAAAAGGCCTTCAAACTTGTGAGGACCGGTGAGTGTGTCCTCACAAGTCACTGTTGGTTCTCACAAGTATAGTAGAATGCAGATTTCCAGTCCTCACAAAGATAGCTAGACAGGAACACACACACACACACATGCACAGACACACAGACAAGAACCGACGTGTACACACCTTGAGCTCTGCTGTCTGACACTCCTGGCACAGATGGGTTAATGGTAACCATGGCATCACAGACAGACTTTATATTTTCACTTTATGAGGGTTTTTTTGTTCTTCGGGTATCAGGTTTTGTTTTTTTTCCAGACCTTGAATAATTTTATTGGTTTAATCATCCTCTGATCAATAGTTGAAAACTCTTTGCCTCAGTTTCAGGGAGTCCAAAAGTCTGAAGAAGGTATGATCAGGTAAATGACCAGCATAAATTACTGTTCACGGTTTACAGTTTAAAAACGTGATATATACACTTCAGCCAAACAAGTTTACAAGAAACAAATTTATGTGGGTAGATGTGATCAAGACAACACGCTGAAGTTCAAACAGTAGACTCTTGATTAGAGTAGAGTGGCCAGACTGTTCGAGCTGAGATGAAGGTAAAAGTAACTGAAAAAATGCAGAAGAGCATACCTGAACACACAACACACCAAACCTTGAAGCAGATGGGCTTCAGCTGCAGAAGAGCGGATTCCACTCCTGTCAGCTAAGAACAGAAAACTGAGGCTATTGGAAAACCAATTCCTGGTCTGATGAGTCTATATTTCTGCTGTTATATCTGGATGGTAGGGACACAGGTTGGAGTACACAACGTGAAAGCACTGACCCAGCAGCCTGAACCATCAATGGGTTCAGGCAGCTGATGGTGGCATAATGGGGAGGGGGGATAATTTCTAGGCATACTTTGGACCACTTAGTACCAGCTGAGCATTGTTTAAACACCACAGCCTACCTGATTATTGCTGTTGACTATGCTGATCCCAGCTCAAACTCAAATAATCTCAAGAGTACACTGGCCAGAAATCCAACCAACAAACACACACCAGGTGTCCACGTTTAACCGTATTAGGGGGTACTAATAAAAGCAAATAAACTTTTAGTCTTTAATGGACCAAAAATACAATTATAAGATATATAAGATGGCACAAAACAAATAAATTACAGTCCAAAAATTGATTCAGATTCATTTTGTTGTGAAAACAAGCGCCACACAAGTATCTGTGAGCTTTATGGCAGATATTCTAATATCAGTAATGGCATTTGTGTCAATAAAAACAAGGTTGTCTTGAAAATGTGCTAAAAAATGATGATAAATAACAGGAGCTGAAACCAAAAGTGTCTCCAGAATACTGAATAATAAATGTAAGTTATATTTTATTGTGGAAAAGGAACCTTTCATTTGAACAAAACATGTAACAGAGAGAGAAAATAAACATTTCGTACATATGATATAGAAAAACAAAAGTGCAATGAGGATTCTTTAGAAAAACCACTTCACAACAGACAGGACGGCAGGGCGATATCACAGCACAATATCCTGTGCTACAGTACCCTCTTGTGGTGCAAAGCACGGTGAAAAACATCTGTGCCATTCTGAGTACCGAAAAACAAAAATTCAAATTCAAAAATTAAAACAATACTAAATAAATTAGGTCCAGGAATTTAAGTCACTCAAAAAATTAGGTCAGGGTCTCCCCTCGGTCCTGAGGGAGTTTGAAGGTTATGGATTACCTGAGGTTAAAAAGTGCACAAGATCAATAAGTTGCTATGGCAGTTTTTAGATGAGACTTGGGTGTTTCTTTGTTCTCTGCTCGGTGCTTCCACAAACTAAAAAAAGAGTAACGTCAGCGCACCTCCGGCGTGCACGAATCTAAACTTTCAAAGGATATAAACTGGTCGTGTGATCTGTGAGCGAAGCAGCTTTCAGACCTCTTTGTTCCATCGAGGAATGATGGGCTTGCGATACGTCCGTCTCTCAGAGATGTTTCGTCTGACTTTGACCACCGTTGCAGGCGCCACCTCCAATTCCAGAGAAGGGCTTGAGTGGGACTTTTTAAGCATGCCTTCCACATCATCTTCCTCTCCCAGAGAGTCAGCGCATACAGCTTTATCAAACGAGTTCAGGTCTGGTGCATTTAACTCGCTGTCGCCTGTCTTTTTCACACTCTTCCACCCCTCCAGCACCCGAATGTAGGTATCATAGCGACATATCTGTGGGACACAGGCTGATGAGTGGCTCAATTAATATAATCATATATGGATATAAAATCCTGGGTCCATCTCACCTCATGCTGCAGGTACTGCAGGTGCTCCTCCATATCCCGGGCTTTGGCCTTTTTGCCGTCCAGCGTGCTTTGCTGCTGGTTTTCGAGGTCCACCTTGAAGGACTCCAGCATTTTTGCATGAGACTGAAGCTGATGCTCCTGCACAGGGAACACATGAGAGGCTTCATGTAAATATATGTGACGCAAACACTGGTGAGGAACCAACAGAAACAACAGCAGGGAAGCACTATCGGACACACTATAGCTGGACACACTATGCGTCTACTAAAATACAAAATGTATAAAATGCCTCTAATGGTTTCAATATTTACAGCCACCACAGACAGTAGGGGTGTCAAACATAGGGCTGGGGGGCCAACCTGGCCCAGTGGAAAATTATAAGGAGGGCATAGACTTCTGTACTGTACTGTACTGTATTTTCATAGATTTTACAACTTGTCCTGTTGATAAAATGTCAAACAAAACAAACATTTAGTAAAGTCACAAATGAATTAGTTCCTAGAACGGATTCCCTTACCCGGATGATTGAGCATGCATCGAGACATATGCGCTAGAACCTTTTTCTGTAATTTTACACATCTATTTCTTACAATTTAAGCCCAAAGAGTCATGCTGACAGCTTTCCTCCATTTACTACAGCAGCATTTTTGTAACTGCACTTCTTTTTTCTCCTATGACGATATCTGAGGGATTCAATGTGTAGTTAAACTTCTTTACACTGAAAAGGGGATTTTCACTGGTCTGCCACACTTAAGGTCAAAGTGGGCGATGTAAAATGAGTTACACATCGCTGGTGTAAAACATGGACGTAGCTCCCAGGTTGGAAAAAATAAAGCCCATGTGGACTGGCCTAAAAACCTGCATTCTATCTGGAGGTCATTAGCTGTGGTTGCCAAACTCTTTCCTGATGAGTCTAATTCTCTCTAATTTCAGCTTATAATGACTAAAAAAAAGAGGTTTATTTTGTAAGTCTTTGTCATACTATATTTCAAAATGGAGGATTATCTGTGGCATGTTTATTTGCTGACAACTGAGTCAGTGGTTTCCCAGTGTAACCAGCTCCTCCTTGTGTTATCCGTTTTCTTAAAACCAAGATTGCAGAAAAGGCTAATCTTCAAAACAGGACTTAAGAAACAAAGAAATGATATCACTGTAGCATTTATGTTTATGCTGGCTGTGGGAGACACCAAAATACATTAAAATGTCCATTTTTCTAATATTATCAAACGAAGGAACACTTGTTTTATGAGAAGTAAAAGACAAGGGTTATCTAAATAAACCTAATTTGGTATTTTTAACTCCTTTTTGTCTCAAGATGATTGAAAACCGTAAGTAAATACATTAGAACATTATTCTAGACTAAAGGAACCACAAATGGAGCCATTAAAAACAAATATAACAGGCCTACTCAGTCACGTGAAGGTTAATGAAGCATGTCCACAGCAAAACACAAACACAAAGTGGTGGTTTGTCTGAGTGGACAGCTCGGTGTGTGTGTACCAGAGTCTCAGCCGACTGCGACGCGGGGAGGATCGGTCTGCGGAACTTCCTCTGGGAGCCGACGGCAGCGGGGAACGGAGGCGACGAGTGAAGAGCCGAGACTAAGTTGATGCGGCTGATCCACGAATTCATCTCCGCTTTGGACCTGAGAAGAAAAACAAATGACTGTTCTGACACCGGCCGTTGGACTCTTTGGCACAAACCCACATATGTATGCTCGGCTTGGACGTGCTGCGACTTACGAGGCCTGAAAGAGAAAAACCCTCCAGTCGGCCGTCTGCAAACGGAAAACGTGTGGCTTCTTGGTGTAATCGGCTGCTGGTTCAGCCAGAGAGTGATGCACGCTCACCACCTCCTCTATAATGTGCTGATCCCTTCGATAATCATTCTAACACATAAGAAGGAACATAAAGAAACGCACAATCACAAAACGCAGGAAATGATGCTATATTCTGGATAATAGACTCTGTTACACTATTAACAAAGCAGGAATGGAGTTACTGACCTTCTGTAAGTAAAGGACCATTCCTTTAAGCACTCCATCAAAAGTCTTCCAGCTTCTCTTTCCCCATGGTGCTACCACACAGAAACATCCAACAGTTAGTAACAAAACTCATGCAAAGGAGACGTTAACTTCTTTAAAAGTCGCCAAACCTCCTCCTGCAAAAAAATACTGGCGGCTGCCAGCGTTAGCCCTCAGCCTTCAGATGCACATATGGTATAAATCTCAAAATCATAGCTGATTTCCTTCTCGAATTATCGCATTCACAAGATTTTCAGAACATTCTGAAAATCTTGTTTAAGGTCACTGAGATTCAAAACAGTTTTTTGAGATTTTTAGTAGATGCATCTATGGTGTCAATTTCAAATCCTACATCGCCTCATTCTCAACTTCTTCCATTTATAAACTCAGGTGTCCGTGCCGACCGCCCGGCAGGGAAGGCTAAGCGTTGTTTTGAACGCTTAGCCTTTTACAGCTAAGCATTCAAAACAATATCTGACTGTATCACTAAATCACAGTTTAGTTAAATAAACCTTTGTGGGAAATTTATTAGTTTCACTTTGCTTTTGCTTTCAGACCTGCTTTAAGTCTTCATGGCACAGATTCAACAATTTGCTGGAAACATTCCTCAGAGATTACGCTTTACGCTGACATGACAGCATCACTCAGCTGCTGCATCAATACATCTGACCTCTGGCATCAACTGCTGCTTACTGCACAGTCTCCTTTTTTCAGCCCATTTACTGTAAACCGTAGAGGTGGTTGTGTGGGGAAAATCCCAGAAGGTCAGCAGTTTCTGAAATATGAGATGATCCCATCTGTCACGAACAACCAACCTCATCTCATTTCATTCTAATGTTTGTTTTGAACTTCATTGTGTGATCTTATTCACATGAGTTTTTGCTATGCGACTGGATGGTTAGACCTTTGTGTTACCGAGCAGTTGAACCTGTGTACTTAATAAAGTGGCCAGTGACTGTAAAATCTCGAGTTCTGCCTCACGAGGTTAAGCGGTAACTCTGGGAAACACACTGGAATGACAAAACATCAAACGTTTACAAAATATTCTTGATAATTCAAAATAACTGTACTCATGCGCACATCTATACATTTATTTCCATTTTTTTAAGAGCGTTATATGTTTGAGGCAAGTAAAGAGTAAAGTTTAGGGATTATTTTTAGTTTATTTTCAAATTAATTTAAGATTTAGTTGGTTTCCAGAGCAGATTTAGTCTTTTCAGTTTCACTTTTATTGTTTAAAATCTACAGTTTCGGACCAGATGGGATAAAACATACCTTATTTATCAAAAAAACTGGGAAATCTCTGTGTTCTAAAACATGGAAAACATCCTGAGGAAGGAATACTTTGTTAGGAACTCCCTTCCTCACAGATATTTCATGACTAGTTGTGGAAGTGAAATTATTGCATCACAGCAACTTAGCCACAAAGTGGAAGACCACGTGAAGTACAGTGTGCTGAGGCGCTTTGTGAGCAAAAGTCAGCAACGCTCTGTTAACATAATAACTGCAGAGCTCCAAACCTCCTCTGGTGCACAGAAACAGTGCACTGGGAGCTTCGTGGCATGAGCAGCTTCTGTAGCTGTAATGTGTAGATGGTGTATCTAACGCTGCAGCGTGAATCTCAGATGTGTATCTGTGTCGCACTCACTGCGTTTTCCATCGATGTCAGCGTGTAGCTTTCTCTGGAGAAACCCGTTTTTGACGACGGCAGCCTTTTTGTCATGAGGAACGTCCAGAAAGGGGTTAACCTTTGAACGCAGCCGTGGATTGTCGCCCGGATCTTCATTAACCACTTTCTTCAGCTCATCCTCATCACTTTGACATAAAATGGAAGAATATGCAAGTGAGATCACGCATTAAAATCGAGGAGGACTAACGCACAACCGCTTTACTTACACAGCCCATTCCAGCGGCTCGTTCTTTATGGAGTTGTAAAGACTCTGCAAAGAGAGAAAAAGCTTCATCAATCAGGACTGAACCTTTCTCAAGGAGCTCTCCAAAGGAAAAACTGAAAATCTAGGAAAGTATTACTTTCAAGAGATCCTTGTTGAAGTTCGCTCCATCATTCATTCCATCCAGGTTTGACACAAACTTAGAAGACGACATGGATTTTCCTACATGCTGTCAACACACACACACACACACAACACATGTTTGATTACAGCACAAAGCTTACAATGATTGCTCTAAATGCCACAAATGTCTGCTACCTGTCCGTGCAAGTCAGTGTTGAGAAGCATCAGGGCACATGTCAGAGCCAACACAGCCCCTGAGGACATTAAAAAAACAGAAAAGTGATGTTGACACAAGAATCTGTTAAATGTAAGTTCCTATCTCTGTATCTCGCAGCACGACACAACAAGCTCACCTGAGGAGGAAAAGGAGTCAGGGTTGCACTGATGGAAGCGGCAGGAGAAATGCTGCAGCACGCGCTCTCTCTCCTGCGTCTCTCCTATCAGCACCACCACTTTGAGAAAAGACCTAAGAAAGAAAGAAAATGACTAGGAGACGCTCTCTGAACCTCTCCTTTTTAAAAGGAGATGTCGGTGGAGGCAATCCAAGCTTCTGTTTGTTTTATTACCTCAGGGAGTGATCCAGAGTTTGGCCGGTGAAGTCAAAGAACTTCAGGTATTCCTCTCCGACAGCGCGGCTGAAGTCGTTACTAAATAAAAACAATTGATGAATAAATAAAAGAGAGAAGAAGAAAAAATTAACTACGTCAGCACTGTCACCGCTTTATTTATCTGCCACATTCATCTGTAATTTTATTCCATGGGGAAGGATGTGGTGTTACGAAAAAATACTGACTTCTTCAATACAACGGCAAAGCATTAACACACCCAAACCCCCTTACCCAACCACACTCCGCAACAGCTTCAGTGACTCAATGTTATGAGGCTTTTATTTAAAGGTCTCAACAGGTGGAAATACAGAACTTTTTCAATTTGAGGGCAGAGTGAGTTTTAATTCAGGCGGGCCTTTTAGGTCTTAAGGTTTCATATGTTTGGGGTGGCTGCAACTGAGGAGGTAGAGGAGGAAGAGAACTACTCAGAAGGTTGGTGTTCGATCCCTGGCTGCTCCTGCCTGCTCTCAGCGCCTAACCCTAAGGTGCTGAGAGTAAATCAGCACCTTTGAAACAACACAAAGTTGTTTCTTTTGGGCAAATTATGATGATTTAAGATCATAAATGAAATAATTTAAAATATACAATATATAGCAGTGGCCCACCGCCTTTGGCAGAAAACTAGATGATTAGTAACATTTATATTTATTTATATACATCTGAAAAAAATGTGAAACCCATATGCTGACTTAAAAAAAACATATAATATGTGCGTCATAGCCCACTTCTGTCACCTGGCAGTGGTGACAGGTGGTAGCTAGCATAGACACAAACATATGTCCAAAATTCAGAATTTTCTTTTACATTTTTAAAAGTATTCTGCACAAAAACAGATAGGACTCAAAGTAGATTAAAATTATGAGATATTTACTACACGTATGCACGCTTAAATTATAATATAATCATAATAATAATGGATGCTTTTGCATTTAAAAAGGTGTGAAGATTTGTCGAAGTCTCCACTTCTGGATTTCTTTAGTATTTGAACATGCATTTAAGTAACCTGGTTATGGTTAATTTAAAGCGTTTCACTAGTTGGAAACTGTAAATGTGTCACAAAAATAAAATTCGACATAGATATAATCTGTTGTGTTTGAGCACACATTTGCAAACATACGAATCTTGGGGCTCTTCTGTGGAGACACCACCAAAAGACTAAAATGATTCAAATCGATTAAAATATATACTCTTACTCTTTGTCTAAGTGCTTCACCACATCTCCACGATGAATCTCGTCCAACTTGAACAGCTTTTCAGCGAGGATGCGGGCCTTCTCTCTGTCCACCTCGCCTCCATTCATAAGAGGCACCGCTGTCTCCAGGGGCATGGGCTGCTTTCCGTTTGCCACTACTGTTTCTAAATCTCCATCCTCAGTCCCCCTAACATCTTCTGTTAGATCTGAAGTCTCACCCTGTTTTTCCTCCTGATTTAACTCCTCCTGAGTTTCGGTTGTATTTACTGGTTCCCTATCGTCTTCTAAAGGCGCTGTCTCTTCTTGCTGACCTGCCTTTCCAGGGTCTTCAGCTTCAACACAAACAGCCTGCTCCAACTGAGGAGACTCCTCTGGCTGCTCTGCATCGTCAGGTTGGATTACCTGGTCTGTCAGTTCCATCTCTGGTGACTCTTCCAGATGCTGGGGTGGTTCTAAGTGGTCAGCGTCTTCCTCGATTTCATGTGACCCCTCTACTGGTATCTGCTCTGGGTTTTCAGTCACCCCGAGCTGCTCAGGCTCTCTGTCCTGCACCTCAAGCTGCAGTGAAGCGTCTGTGTCCTGCAAAGCTGTTTGAACACAGTCTTGTTGCTCTAAACAATTTAAATCCTCCAGTTTTTCAACCAGCTCTTGTTTGTTTTCTATCCTCTCTGCATTTTCTAAAACCTGTAACGCTGCTCCCTCGTCATTGTCCACAGCTTCTGGCTGTTCAGGCTCCACGTTCTGTTCGACATCTTCACACATTTCTGTCCGACTGGTGAGATCTTCATGTAACTGGTTCAGTATCTCTTGGTCCTCTTCAGCGCTGAACTGCAGGCTTTCCTCGAAAAGCTCTGGGGGTGGCAGATCCACTAGCTTATCTGCCTCTGTCGACACTCCAGTGTCATCAGTTGGAAGGAGCTCTGGATGTACCTCCCTAAAAAGTGTGCACAAAATATGCAGTGCAGTTATTGCAAAAAAATACTACAATACAGTAAAAAAAAACAAAAAAAAACAACTTGCATGACACAATGGAAGGATATGCAGTTAGCAAGGGCCAGAGATGTCAATCAACCTCTTCTGCATGATATTTACTGACTTGTTTCTCTGTGTGGCTTCTGTCAACACCACTACTTTAAATAAAGCTGCTCTTAGAAATCATGCTCGCAGCTTGTTTGGTGTTAGATGACAAAATAATTTAAATGCAACATAAACTCTGTATTAGTAACCATTAAATGTTATATCACAAAAACCCGGATGAGGAGTAGGAGGTCTTCGGTCAAAGAAATATATTTAGCTAACAGCACGTAGGTGTTAAAGACATACCATTACATACCAACCTCAATCTTCGGGTCTTTTGGAGTTGTGATAGCACTATTTGATAGGTGTCAGTGCCATCATTGTTCTATTTTTACAGTTTAACTACCTACTATTCTAATATTCGTCACCTAAAATTCAACAGTGGTGGCATTTATTATTAAAAGCAGTATTGAGCTATTATTAGAAATTACCAGGAAATATATCAAAATATATCGCCTCCACACTCAGTTGTACAGCAATCGTTATGTTGCATAGGAGCTGTTATGTTGCTATGCAACTCCCTCATCATAATATCTAAATTAACATTTCTTTAAAAAATTATGCAAACTCGTTTCCTTGGAAAATCTGCATACAGTTTAGACTACATGGTTAAATTAGGAGAAATTGTTTCTTGTGAATGGACAGCAGTCAGAATAACTTAAATTTTCTGAGTGAGCAATGTAGAATTGGGACTGGGAGGAGACCCAAACCCAGCCTCATGGGGTCAAAAGCTAGCGTGGATCCTTTTTTGTCGACCTACTTTGAGGAAGACAGGAGTAGCTGAGAGTATGATTGTGGCAGATTTTGTTACCTTAATTTAAAAAAATGCAGAATTGACTATCAAAAGGTCAGTAAGAATTTAATACTTTGGCCAGAAAGCAGAAATTTTTTGTATGGGTATGAAAACATCCTCCTCTCAGGAGACGAGACAACATTTACTAGTACTTTCAAGATGTTGTGTCTCTGGTTGTTTCAGTATGGACCTAATACCCAGTCACACTCTTTTTAAGAAAAATAATGTGATAATTATATTTGAGCTGACATTCTGCAAACATATTTTTCATTTTTCATTAAATGCTGAACAAATCTCCTTTAAATTTACTGACATGTTGTGAACAATGTCAAGTTCTCAATCTTGTAGACTTAAAGATCTTTCTTGGTTTTATTTAGTTACTGTAAGAAGTTGACCTCACCCAGAAAGCTTTTTTTGAAAAATCATTGCTGACTTGGTGTCAGAAATGATTAAACGATGTTCTGTCATGCATTCGGTGTTAAACATACCGAGCTTGGTTTTTTTGGTTTCAGAATCAAGCGACGGTATAGAATATCAACAGCGTTTTACAGATGATTTATTCACACTTTTCACTCAGTGGGTTTAATGTTAGCACATGCTTCCTGTTCCTCTTTTTCAAGCTCATGATACTCACACATTCATCAGACAAATGACACTTTCTTCACTGCAGGATGCGTTTGCCTCACTCTGCCCTTCTTCTACCTCGCCCCGCTGCTCGTTCTCTTCCTCGGTTTTGTCACCATTTGCTGAAGTTCGCTTTTCCTCCGACTCTCCTGACTCCTCCTGCCCAGTCAGCAGAACACAGGAGTCTTTCTGTTCCTCTTCTAGCTTTAAATCTACAAAGCTGTCCACATATTCATCCGAGCTTCCAGTTCCCAGAGCGGTATCGATTAGTTCCTCAGTTTCAGCGGGATGTGATGTCACTGAGCGACCCTCCTCTTCTTCCGATTCTGCTCTCAATGGGACTAGAAGCGTGTGAATACGACTGCACGCAGTTAACTTATAGAAAATATTACTGAAAGGCAAGCCATCAAGGCCATGAATGTTTAACAACAACTCTGAGTGATACATACCGTTATTACTCTCTACCAGCTCGTCTTCTTTCCACCGTGTCTCCAGCTCTTGCACATCTGCAGCATCACATGGCTGAAAATTGCAAGACGAGCCACTGAACATTAGTTGTGAGAGAAAAACATGTGATTGCCCGTGGGTTTGCGAGCAGGAAGATACATGCTGAGGCTCATCTGACTAACATTACATCCACCCTGATCCACCTAACTCTGCTCAACCTGCCACAACAACCCAAAGACAGAGATGCTGAGTTATGCTCAGTAAAGAAAGGGTTAACGATACAGGAAACTGTAGGTAAACATGTGAACATTCACTCAGGAAAAAGAAAATCCTAAACAACCTAACAACCTCACACACACCTTCTTTATATCTATCTATCTTTATTTATTTATCTATCTAAAAATAAATAAATTTAAAAAAAAACCTTACCTCAGTGTCACTTCCTGTCCATTCAGGTTCTGAATTCAGAGGCTGTGGATCGAGGCCAGCTTCTTCCTCCCTGCTCTCTGCTTTGAAAAGCTCAGCGCTGACATCCTCTTGAGACTCGTGAAGTGATGGGGAAGTGCTGCCTTCATTCGTCACAGCGCTGACATCCTCAAAGTCCAGCTCATTGGCTGAGCTGCTGTCAGTCATGAGCAGAGGCTGCTCTGCAGCGGGATTGGGCATGTCCCATTGAACTGTAGCAAAGGAAAGTGGGGGGCTGGTACAGTTGACATGACACACTGGCCACATCATTTGGCCCCACTGTTCCGCCTCCTCAGAGGCATCACAGCCCTCCTTAGGGCTGAGATTGGCCTGATCCGACAATGCTGCAGCCTCCTCTTCCCCATTGATGGACTGATGATCTATACCGTTACTTGATTCTTGCTGAAGCACTGAATCTGTAGCAACTGTCTGAGAGGTGCACAAGCTGTCCTCCTCCATAAGCGCCTCTCAGTAGTTATCAGTGTATTTGTGGGTTGTGGTGAGAGGTATAAAATCTGCAGATGTATGGCTACAAAATGTCCTCGTTGGCCGAATGACAGACAGGAACTTTTTAAGGTGAGCCCCCTTCCGGGTGCTGCCTTTCACAGATCTGTAACAATTTAAAAAAAGGAAAAAATACAAAAGATCAAACTACTACCACGTTTTAAAGCTCTTTGAATCTCGCATTAAAAAGAAAATGGAGAAACACCCCCGGGGGGAGATGATTAGCTGACAGACAAAAAGCCATTCATAAAACTCTGCTATATTTACTTGTAAAGAAACTGCCGCCATTCAAATACAGATTATCATTATAGTTAAACTGCACTCACCACTTGTATGGCAACATAATCCAGTCTTGTCTGTAATTTTATTTTTATCCCATCATGTTCATTTGGCAAGGATCTCAAACTCTTGGTGAGTGTTTGCAGTTATGCAGTGCAACAGGCTTTAAGTAAAATGTCACAGAAGCACGCTTGTACTTCCTGACCACAGAAAATCAGCCAAGCAAGAGAGAGTCAGAGGTGTACATGGTGAGGATAGAGAATCGAGGCCTAGGGAGGGGCTGAGGGGTTGCTTCTGGTGAGCAGTTTAACTGTCTGCATTCTGCATTTATCGTTTTATCGCCAAAACGCACTGCGAACCTGGCTTGTGGATAAAGCTTTAAAGTCTCTGCTTTAATTACAATCCTTGTTATCGACACAAACAAAAGAGTGTCATGGGTGTCTCTCCTGTCAACACAGAGGCCAAAGTACCACCTGCCTTTGCACTTTGGGAGGAAATAATAATCAGTATTATTCAACTACTTTAATGTCACCTTCATCTATGCCACTCTCTCTCTGGAAGATGCCTTTTTATTGAAAAGTTTCAGTCTATCTTCATTATTTTATTCACGTCAGATAACCAACATCCGGGATAGACCACATTTCCTGTGTGGGTGCTCACTTCTCAGTTCCTGTCAGTGTGCAGCAGGCGCTACATTATGGGAGGCAACAAAGAGAGAAAACTCTAAATGAGTCACATTGCGTTTGAAAACAAAATGCTTAAATTGTTGCTTTTCTTTTTCTTTAAATTTCTCCAGACGGTAATAAAAATGCACGGCATAAAAATTAAAAAGTAACGTGCAGCCCTCACACATTGAACATCGATGGCGCTGTCCTGATTTCAATCTCTCCTTGATAGACTTTTGTTTCATACAGCAACAGTTTTGCACCAGATTATATGCGGTAGCATTGTTGATGATAAAAACTTTACCAGTGAAAGCCAGACGGCTGTGAAGCTTTGTGGAAACATTCCTCGGACACAATAAAAGAGAGAACAAGAATAAAACTTGGTGACTTAAGCCAAAACATTTAGACATATTCTGACTGAGCTGAGTGTGGTCACGAGAAGTTGCTTAAATTGCATGGGAATATACTCACCAAAATTACATGCTAGGGGGATGGTTAACACAAATTAAAGGAGAAGTATAAATGGTAACGGAAAAAAAGATACTAGAGGGAAAAAAGGGAACACAGGCACGTTGAATGAAGTAAAAGTTTTGAAATGGCTTAATAATAACACTAGTATTCAGAGAAATAAAAGTAAAACCAATCTCATTATAGGAGGAATATTTTCAAATGTGAAGCGTGACTTACCCCCTCTGGGTTCTTTAAAGCAACATCATATGATCAGCCAGCTTGTGAGTTCTTAAGTCCTGTGGAGAGAAAAGCAAACCACTGTGTTATACCGGCTTTATATCGCTGTGCACTCACAGAAACAGCCACTCAACACGCAGACACAGAGAAGCCTGCAAGTAAGCCTCAGAGCTGTGTATAGCAAACAAGTCTCATATCCACCTGGCAGCCTTTAAGTGTAGGTTACAAGCCCAAGTCTGGACCATCTTCCCTTACCTTCTTCATCATGCTTCCTGTCCATATTGACCAGACCAAACTTGTGGTTACGTCTCCCTGCGTCGTTTTTTTTCGCTCTGAACAGCAAGTAAAGGGAGGGAAAGGAGGAAAAGATCTGCTGAATGGCAGCGACAAGGAGGAAGGAAAGGTTCATTGTGATTGGCAGATGACTCAGGAACTAAAAGGACACCTGAGAGGCCTGGCCCCCGCCCCACTGGCCTAAAGGCATGCATGCAAACACACACACATACACACACAGCCACAGAGACACCAGTGAGGTAAGGGGAGTGGCCCGACTTCATTCTTTCAGATGCCACTAGGAACAATGTGGAAAAACCAGAAGGTATCCAGACTCATTAGCAGTTACTCTTTCTGCTGGTGCCAACTGTGAGCAGAAAAGCCTGTTTGACACATACAAGACATTTTTTAAGACATTCCTCTCTCTCATATTAATTCATCCTATATTTAGCATCAAATCACTCAGAGAGTGATTCAGAGAGTTGTGCGTATGCCTTTTATTTCACTGGTGTAAAATACAAAGAAATATCTTTAAAAAAAATAAAAAAAAAATAAAAAACTTGGGGTGAGGAACCACGTAAAATGGCCTCTCCGTATCTCACTAGTTGTAAAACCATCAAAAAACTGCCTATGTGACAAAACAAGAATAACCGTTGAGACAGGTGTTGTTTGTGTATAATTTCTAGTGTTAATGGCCTACAAATGATAGCACCATATCCAATCATACACCTGTTTAACTAAAACTAGCACAAGCACAAGTATCTATTATAAACATAGAGCATAGAGCAACAGTAATCAATGTAATGTCAATGTAACCTAGCTATAGACCTTTTCAAGGTATCAATAGGGTGATAAGGTATCAATCACTCAACTTTGTCTGTTTTACGACCTCATAGCACTTTTATTGTACTTAAATTGCATTTATTGGTTTTCTATGTCTATAATGTTTCTTGTTCAGTAGAGCTACACTTCACTGTTACTGTTTTCCTGGAAGGTTGGCTGGATACTGACTTGCAAATGTAATGTTTCCTTTAGCAGCTGTCTTCTCAGCTCTTTCACAGAAGCCAGTCCAACAAGTACCAAGCAAGAGGATAGCCTGTATTTGGGTGTATACAAATTCTGTGTTTAGGAATGAAAGGTGTAAATGTTTAGCTATACTATCTAATTGTTATTATTGGCACCTTGCTGCAGTACCATGAAGGAGCTGTCTGTGACTGCACGGGCCTGCACTTTGACATATGTGTTACATTTGTGAAAATTGCCCATGTCAGTCATGAAAAATGCTCATAAAATTAAATGTTTCTTTAAGTTCGTCTGTTTCCTGTATACATACGAAAAAATGCTAGGTGAGCAACTATCTATGGTAGTTTCATTCAATTTAATTTGCAAAGTAAAGATGAAGAATTTTATTGAAAGTCCTACAAATATATACATAAAAATGTCCGGTGATAGCCATATTAACATGTCAACTTTTATCTCTAAATGTCATTAATATTATTAGCATTAGCACTCTGTTAGCTTCGTTAGCAGTTAACGTTAACTGCAGTAACTCATAGCAAGAGTTTGCTAACGAATAACTGATGTTTTACTAAGTTTTTATTCCCTGTTACAGTTTTTAAACCGTTAAGTTGGTTTATATATTTAACATATAAATATGAATCCCCAGGAACTGCTTTGTTACCTATGCTCTAGAAATTTATTAGCATTATTAGCATCAGGATGGCCTTTGGTATCAAAATATTAGTATTACCTAACATTTTAAGTGAACATCCTTGCCGCTGGGGTAATGCGGATTATTACTGCTCCTACAAGTACGTTTGTTGCTGTTAAAGAAACTTTAACACTATTGTACAAACACAAACAGTCAATTGCCCTCCACACCAGCAGGGGCGCTACAAACCTGGGAGTCGTCTTTCAAGCAGAATCGTCCTCTCCTCGCCGTCTCTGCTTTGTTTGTTCCGCACACGGCAGCAGGGTCGCACACACCCACTTTTACCCAGAGACTTTCAACCTTGCGCAAACACACATCTGGTGAAGTGTGTGCAGCTGTGTCCGCTCAGGCTACAATGGCCAAGACCGGGGATCTGAAAACGTTCCTAGAGTCTTCACTGAATGAGATTTTTAAAGCCACGGTGAGCGACATCCTGGACTCAGTCGACCGGACACTGTCCGAGTACCAGGGCACAATACAAAGGATCGAGTCTGAAAACGAGGGCCTGAAGCGGCTGCTTTTTGCACAGACGAGCACAGAGTCTGCACCTGGAGGTATGGTGACCTGCTGTCGCTCATGACATGTTAGTTAAAACATGCCCCGGACCATCATCAGATAGACTTATGTACAAGGGAACCACGTGACACTATACCCATGAACATTCACATGCAAATAATGGAGCTGTGCGTGTTTTACAGCTGCAACTTCAGCTGATTACTTTACTTTTTTGACTGGACGCTCAGGTTTAGTTTAGAGACAAAGTTAGACAAGTGAGGTTGAGATGGTTTGATGAGGGATAGTGGATATACTGGACAAAGGATGATGAAGAGCTGGGGCTACCAGGCAGGAGGAAAAGAGGAAGACCTCAGAGGAGAATCGTAGATGTAGTGAAGGAGGACATGGCAGAGGGTTGGTGTGACAGAGGAGAATGCTAGGGACAGAGAGGAAGCAGATGTTCAACTGTGGTGACACCTACAGGGAGCAGCCGGAAGAAGAAAATGAAATATGAGAAGAAAACTGAATCCTCTATCAATTATGATTATTAAACTTAACTTATTTCAACTGTTTGTTGCCGAAAAAATGACTGAATAATTGGCAAAACTGTCCAATTATTTATCAGTAAAGAACACAGCAATTAGTTTCAGTGCCAAAATGTTTATGAGGTAAAAAGCAGATTTTGTGTTACGAGGTTTAGGCCTTCCCCCAAATAAAATGACCATAATTATAAAATAAAACAAACAAACAATAGTTTAAGCAGTTGGATTTATATATTTGTGCATAAAATAGATTTTTGATGTGCAAATTCACCGCACAATGCATTTATAGCCAACGCTGTAAAGGGCAATTATGGAAACTCCCTGTCTACTGTAATATGTAGTAGTAATACTGTGTATAGTATGGATGCTAATCAGTATAGAACCAGCAAAAAATACAGTACAATGGAAACATCTTGAGCAACCTATCATTTATTTATATTTTTTGCCAGAAAAAATGGAAAGTAGATGCAGGGATTTATTGAAACATGTGCAAACATAGCAAGAAAGTACTGTTGCCTCACAGCAAGGTCCTGGGTCCAAATCGACCATGTGGCCGGGGCTTTTCAGTGTGCAGTTTGATGTTCTCCCACAGTCCAGAGACATGCAGTCAGTGGGGTTAGGTCAATTCTACTTACTAATGTATACTATTCATACATTTAGCTGTGTTAAAAGCTGCTGCTTTGCTCATTATTTTGCTTGACATTCACAGATCGACATGAAGAAGAGGCCACTGAAAACTTCTCAGCTGCAGAATGGGGGAGTCATCCCAATGGTATGTTCAAGGTGTCCATATGCAGCAGTGACAAGAAGAGCGTCAAGAGGAAGAGCAAAGAAAAGATGAGGGGGGGATTGCCACCTTCAACCCTTTTTCTGCAGACTAACCACACAGTACAGCATCTGTGTGTGAACTCAACAGGTATGGAAACTGGGATATCCATAAAGTCAGATATGGATGAAAGCCAGGCTATTGATCTCTCTCAGGCGTCAGCGCTTCTGAATTTGACAATGAAGCCAATAAAAAATGAGAGCACAGAGGTCAGGTGTGACAGTCGTGATGAATACGCACATCAGCAGCCATCCCCGGGGCCCAGGCATGAGTACAGTGGTGATGAAGGCGATGTTAAAGTCACCATTGTTTCAGATCAATACATGCAGGACGGTCAGTTCATAAAGACAGAGGAAGAGGAGCAGAACGGGGACAGTTTCCACCAGCATGAACTGAGGTATGCGTTAAAAAATTACCCAGAAGCAGAGGGGGATTCAGCGGCGGGGAGGAGGCATGAGTCTGAGCCAGAAGCAGTGACCCCTAAAGGAGACGATTTACCTGCTGTTCCTGTAGAGGAGTTTTTAGAAGTTTGTGACAACTTTTTGCGTTGTCCCACCTGTCCCAAAACGTTTAGTCGAGCGACCTCGCTCAACATCCACATCAAGACCCACAGCGGCGAGAAGGCTCACAGCTGCAGCTACTGCGGAAAATGCTTCAGCCGGGCCGACCTCCTCAAAGCCCACAAGCGCACTCACACGGGAGAAAGACCCTACAGCTGCAATCTGTGCAGTAAAACCTACGCTCACCCCAGCCAGCTCCGGATACACAAACGCATCCACACCGGAGAGAAGCCATATTGTTGCTCGCATTGCGGGAAGCGCTTCAACGAGCACAACCAGCTGAAAGTCCACCTGCGGACCCACACCGGGGAGAGGCCATACGGCTGCCAGGAGTGTGGCAAAACATTCAGCAACGCGGGAAACCTGCGCATCCACGAGCGGATCCACACCGGTGAGAAGCCGTATTGCTGCGCCCAGTGTGGTAAGAGGTTCAACGGCCTGGGTGACCTGAAAACACATTACAGGATCCACACTGGAGAGAGGCCGTACAGCTGCGAGCTGTGCAAGAAGACCTTCAGCCAGGCGGGCCACCTCACCATCCACATGCGGATGCACACGGGGGAAAGACCGTACAGCTGCAACGAGTGCGGCAAAAAGTTTACAGTGGCCAGCAGCCTTAAATTGCACCAGAGGACTCACACGGGCGAGAAGGAGTACAGCTGCTCATACTGTAGCAAGAGCTTTAGCAGGTCCGGTCACCTGAAGAGACATGAGCTGGTCCACACCAAGGAGAAGATCTTCCTCTGTAGTCAGTGCGGGAAGACCTACACTGACCAGTCCTCCCTGAAGAAGCACCTGAAGATGCACGTAACAAAAGAGCAGGAGGTTCAGAGTGAAGGAGACACGTGTCGGGCTGAAAGGAACTCGGACCGACCCGCAGCCTCAGAGATGCTTTCAGACACTCTTAGAAATTAAAACTGTAGGAGGTGAGTCATTTAAAAACTGACAATGAGTGCTGTATGTGACTGTAATCAATGCGATAATGGTACACTTACAAGCTTTTTTAGGGCTTTTTAAGCACATCTAGCTGCCTACTTCTGCAGACAGAGTTTGAGTGTACTATATGTAAATGAGGTGCATGAGCTGTCACCTTTTATATCTCAGCTTAGGGGGAATTCCAGTGAAAGGATGTGAGACAGGAGATTGAGTAAGTGGCGGATTTCTAACTTGATCAGAAAGCAGAAAAAAAATTGCATTTACATAAGCAACAGAGCCAGTTGTGACTTCAGGTGCCAAAGTCGTCTAGAACCACTAAGCACAAACTCCTAATGTAAATGCTGTACTGCTAGTGTCTCATAAATTCTCCATCTATTGGCGCTGGTCACGAGTCCATCACTTGGCTTATCATAATTAAAAAACGTAAAATGTAATAGAAAATAAAAGCCAAACTAGCCGGCGTGCAGATTTGAACACACCGCCCTCTCTAGGATCATATATGTTGACCATATATGAATGCTTATAAAACAATAATATTGTTACATTGTCATAATATGGTTGTAATAAAGGAAAAAATGTGCATATAATAATCTTATAGTATTTCTTACTGGTGCTTGTCACATAAATATAAAGATTTTAGATGCTCTTTAAAAACTACAAACATTCTTAGTGTCGTTGCACTGAGGGATCTTCCAGGATTGTTGATCCGGTTTTCCAGAGAGCTGATTGGTCAGTGGAGTTTGATCTGAAAGATTATTCCCTCTGGAGTTACCGTAGTGATAAACCCCCAGTGATATACCCCCGTTAACCACGTGTTTCAGCATGAACCCCGTTAATGCTAAAACACAGGGTTAATCCTGAAGTTACCTTGATAAGCCCAAATCCTGCTTCATTGTATGAACATCTAAAGCCTCATCTGCAGGAAAAAAATCTATCATTTAATTCTGGCATGAAAACAACAAACTCTGAAGGTTTCTTCACAGTACAGCAAGTACTGTGAGCTGTGGTTAAAAGCTCTAAAAAGCCTGTAAGTGGAACTGAAGTTAACATTAATTTGTGCAACTACTGATACTGATGTTGAGGATGTGTGTGTGTGTGTGTGTGTGTGTGTGTGTGTGTGTGTGTGTGTGTGTGTGTGTGTGTGTGTTTCAGTGCAATACACTGTTGTCCAGTCTGTGCTATATTAATCTATTGTAAATGGAAGAAAATCTGTTTCCTTTGTAGCCCTGTCTGTCATAACACACTGTTTTTTTTAATGTACCTCTATGTTACCATTATGGTGAGTTGTTTTTTAAAATGCTTTACTTTGAAAGACAAATTATTGACTTTGTTTAAGACACTAAGTCGTTGCTACAAGATTAAATTCAACAGTGGCTCTGTCTAAAATTTTTAAGTTAACATGATTTGCCCACAGGGGGGCAGCACCAGAATAACACTATAATTATGTCACTCACAGGCGTATTCACTTAATAATAAGCAGCGTGGTCAAATTTGATTAATTTAATGCTGTATATAGCTTTAACTATAGAGTTAGCACATGATCCTTTGACCTGAGAGGAATGTATCTGTGTAATAACGTCACTAAAAAAATGTTTCTATAAATATTGTAACTGTTTTGTAAGTCATGCTGATCTTAGAGGATTAGCTTAGGCTTGCTAACAGTTACATTACGGCTGGGTAAAAGCCCATCTTCATGATTGTTGTGGGACCTGCTTGTTGTATATCAGTTTATATAAACAGATTTGTCTGTCTGTGTGCTACTTAAAGCCTGTTTGTGTGATCTGTGTCTAAATTAAAGAGATGCATTAACAAAAACAGATTTTCATGTTTTATTGAGCTTTTATACGTTTAAAAAAAGCACAAAACACAGAAACATTCAAACACATTCAGTGCACGATGAAAATAAAACACACCACAGTGTGGTATTCAGATTGTGGTAAGGTGAACTGCTTTTACTTTCACTGAAGTGTCTCGTGCATTGATAGGTATGTAACAGTGCTAGAATCCAGGTGTGCAATGCTTGCA